TTCCTGTGAGGGACTGTTGGTGCAGTGCTCAGCACGACACAGCTGTGCTTCATTGAGGTGTTTACCAAATGACCCAAAGAGTGACTTCAGCATAGGAGGGTTAAGCAGCTCTATGAAATTGGCCGCAGTCATTTCTGTTGGTGTCGTGTTTTGAATCTCTTTCAGTCAGCACAAAAATGAAATACATGTACTCATTTGACCCATTTTGTTACATCAGTCTCATGTTTCTCTCTCGTCGTGTTTATCGGTGTTTTGCAGTTTTTTGCGGGTTGGTGGTTAGCCATAGATGCCGCAGCATGTTATCCCCAGGACGACAAACTGGTCAAAGCCTATCACGTCTGTGGAGTGGTCTCGACGATAGCCTTCTTCATGTAAGTACTTCACCTCCTGTAAAGACGCTTATTTCTCACTGTGTTGAAGTGAAAGATATTTCGTACTTTTCCCATGGACAGCTCCCAACAAGCCCATGTGATTGCAGTTGTTTGTAATTTTGTAAACTGTTAGCAGATTGCACGCTTGATTACCGGCCTACATGTAACTGTGAATTCTGAATAGTCACGTGATGTGCACGTGCGCACAAGGCCACAGAGTTCTTGCTTTTACGCTGCATTTGAAAACAGGGTGGGTAGGTAGGTATGTTAGGAAAATTTTTTGTGCACATTTTTTATGATTCCATGTGCAGCTAAGTGTTTATGGGTTGAAAATAGCAACAGTTAGGTTCAATTTCATTTGTTTCAAATGAAATGAACATAATTCAATTGTACTGCCGTAGTTGCGTGCGTAATTAAACCTATTGGACCTTTTTGCACCACATTCACACAGAAATAGACCTTTCTTTCCCTTTATTTCCAATTTCATATTTTCCCAAAACTCCCCCCCCCCCGTGACTTCAGGGTGGAACTGTCTAAGTACGTTAGGTAGGGAATACAGGAAGCATAACTATTTGGGGGGAAGTATGCGGAAATTCCTTTCTGTTTCACGAAATCTGTAAGCAGTTAGCTGAAAATTGTTTGCTGTTGTCAACGGAGATTCTTTGCTTAAAGTGACAGAACTGTGTGATTCAGTGTGAGCTGTATGTTAGCAACTGAAATTCTTTCCATTCTTGTGAGGCATCTGTCGCTGAGGATAGCTTTATGTTCACCCATTTTGTGTTGCAGGATTAATGCAGTGTCCGCGGGCCAGGTTAGAGGCGACTCATACAACACGGGATGCATTGGACAAAGAGGTACAAAATGAGAACATGCCCCCCTGGGTTAAAGACCTTATTTCAGAAGCTTGCAAATTCCACAATGATGTGGAGAAATACATGTACGTGTATTTGCAGTCCAAAGAGGCCTCTTTGTCTACAAAGTTTTGGTGTTGGAAGCTTTGGCATAATGATTAATTAGATCTCACTTCAGACATTTGCTTCCTCTGTCAGAATTTTCAGAACTCGTGCTGTTTACAAACAGCCTTTCATAAAAACTGGAATTTTTATCACTAGTTTTAAGCCTTCCAAATTTAAAGGATTTTCATGGATTGCTTAAGGTACATGTGTATAGAGTCAAGCCACTGTTAGTTATTATGCATGGGGTTTAAAATGTCTCAAAGGGTCAGGATGATTCCGTCTTCGGATGGCACTTGGTTTGCCTATTAGAGTTGTAATCAAGTCCATCATAAGACCTGCCATAAGTTCCTTTCAGTTCCATAAGTTCAGTTACAATTCCTTTCACAAGACCAGTCATAAGTCTGTTCACAAGACCAGTCATAAGTCCGTTTACAAGACCAGTCATAAGTCCGTTCACAAGACCAGTGATAAGTCTGTTCACAAGGACAATCATAAGTCCGTTCACAAGGCTAGTTATAAGTCCGTTCACAAGGCCAGTCATAAGTCTGTTCACAAGGCCAGCCATAAGTCCGTTCATAAGACCAGTCATAAGTCTGTTCACAAGCTCACAAGACCAGTCATAATTCCTTTCACAAGGCCAGTCATAATTCCCTTCACAAGGCTAGTCATAATTCCTTTCACAAGGCCAATCATAAGTCCGTTCACAAGACCAGTCATAAGTCCGTTCACAAGGCCAGTCATAAGTCTGTTCACAAGGCCAGTCATAAGTCCATTCATAAGGCCAGTCATAAGTCTGTTCACAAGGCCAGTCATAATTCCTTTCACAAGGCCACATGGGGTGCACAGTGGCGAAGAAATGCTCTAGTCAGAGTTCATTTGAATAGCTTTTGATGTGGCTTAAGACTGGTTGACTTGTTTGGTTGATATGCGATGGATCTGCAGGGACCTGCAGGAACTTGCCATGGACCTGCAGGGACTTGCAATGGACCTGCAGGGACTTACGATGGACCTGCAGGGACTTGTGATGGACCTGGAGGGACTTGTGATGGACCCGCAGGGACTTGCGATGGACCCGCAGGGACTTGTGATGGACCTGCAGGAACTTGCAATGGACCTGCAGGTACTTGTGATGGACCTGCCTACAACACTGGTGTATGCACTTTTTTCTAACAGCTTTCTTGTTCTTAATGACTTTTGTGTTTGTTTTATTTCAGGAGCCCGTCTCTGGCTCTTTGTTGGTTTCCTCTTGGCCTTTGGTGGACTAATTGGTGCCAGCTGGATTCTCTTTGGGCCGTACGTGGTCAACAGTAAGTTTAAAGATCCAACAAGCTGTCCATTCTACTCTTGTGTATTAAACTCAGGTCAATTGCCTCTTTTGTTTTACATGCCAAAGAATATGGTAGACTGCAGCCGGAAGGCTAATCGTTTTCAACAAGATTCTGTATTTTGGGAAAGAATTCCTGAAGGCAAATCGTAACGCCCGGGAATAATTTTCTGTAGCTGTTGGACATTTCAAGTTCTGCCACAAAACTCACAGAATTGTCTGAAGAATTTGCTGTGTATCCTCCCCCGACCTTTAAGATGATTTTGTTAATCTGCTTAAAGCCAGATAAACGCACCCCGTTGGCCTGCATGGAATGGTCAAACCACATGCACACGTACATGCACATCGATATTTGTATGCACAAAATCAACATCACCTGCTACTCTGAGTGGGAATTGGCAGATAGTCTCACCATGCTTCCTGAGCTTTTGAATGTCTCTGAAAATTGTCAACAGGTTGCAAATCCTCTGGCATGAATTGGTTATGTAGGGCAGGTTAGTTTTCTCTCGGGCAGTGCCTTTTAAAAGGCAACAATGTGACCCACTGCTTCTAAAAGATAAACCATTCAAGGCTTGACCGTTTGTTTTTTTTTCCCTCAACAGAACAATTTTCAGAATCTTACCCAGGCATAGCAATCTTCTTCCAGAATTTCCTGATCTTTGTGTCGTGAGTATTGTCTTTGGTTTTTTGCCCTTAACGAGAGCCGAGCACCTAAAATAATATCAAAATTTAGAATGCCATGCAGGAGTTTTTGGAGAAGGGACAGAATAGTGTTGAAGACGAACATCCATTACCCAAGAGGATTAATGAATTGTTGTTTTGCGTCTGTACAGGGGAATCGTGTTCAAGTTTGGTCGAACGGAAGACTTGTGGGAGTAAGCCTGGGACATGCAGAACACCTGTTTTTATTGATTACTGCTTAAGTTTGTTTGTGCTTGTGCAGGTCCAAGCTGTTTAAGTTACAGCCCAAATACTAACATTGTGACAGCTTTAGCTGTACACTTTGTTGTTGCGTATGCATTTATTTAAGTACAAATTTGTGTGTACATTTTGGTTTTTTTTATTTTAGTCCAGAGAATTAATTCTGTGTTGTATAAAAGTCGTAAATCAATCATGCAGTATGCTAATAGCTCTAGATTGTGAGAGGCTCAAATTGAAGTTTTTTTAGTTCAATCGAGATGTTTTTTAACAGAAGTTACAGTTTAGGTGAAACTGTAGTCAACTCAGTGACAAGGGAGATTAGATTGAGAGCTGTCGAAGCAATACAAAATGTGCAAACATTGAGAAAATCGGGGAGGGTTTTCCTCTTGGACAATCACTAGTGGCATAGCTTTTCATAATGTTCATGAATTGTTTGCCTCTAAGCTGGGAAAAATTGAGCTGGTCACATGACGCAAAGTGTCGTAAGGAGAAAGCTGAAAATTGAGCTGGTCACATGACGCAAAGTGTCGTAAGGAGAAAGCTGAAAATTGAGCTGGTCACATGACGCAAAGTGTCGTAAGGAGAAAGCTGAAAATTGAGCTGGTCCCATGACGTGAAGTGTCGTAAGGAGAAAGCTGAAAATTGAGCTGGTCACATGACGCAAAGTGTCGTAAGGAGAAAGCTGAAAATTGAGCTGCTTTTGACCTCCAAATAATTGCGGATTGTCCAGCTCCTGAATGGATAGAAAACGAAGGAAGGACTGGCCAGCTGCAGGAAAACAATCTATTCCAATCGGAAAAACCCATTTACTCCAGATAGGAATTCAGAGGGAAATTGGACACAGAAATAAAGTGCTCGGATGTCATTTATAATGGACGTCGAGGTAATTTGAGCCGTCATTTGCGGATTGTCAATTTTTTATCTACTGGTGAGAAATTGCACTTCTGGTGCACACCGTTCAGTGTTCAGGAAATAGAACCGATTATGAGATTGTCTTTTCAGAAACAATTTTTTTTTGGTGGCAGGCTGAGCAGCACGCACTTTTAAAATGCACAATGCCTTATTTCAGCCTCTCAGAGTAGAAACGAGTCATTTTAGTGCTTGTAGTCAGAATATGGCCTTGATAAATTCACCGTAAGTCAAAATCTCGGTGCCGTGGCATCACCCTGAGGATCGCCAACAGAAGTTGAGGGTCAAATGAAGGCTTTGAATAGGTACTTGATTCAATAACAATGCTCACTTTAATGCGAACCAGGCCAGAGAGATTGCAGGGAGAGAGGAATTGTTATTGTGGTGTAGCAAGTAATTATGCAATCTCAAAAGCTCTGTGCTCAAAGTATGTGCACGCAGTCCATAGACCTCTATCACGGGGCAGCCTTCTTGCTTTCTTACCATTAAAAGTAGGGTAACGAAGCCACGGCTGGAAGGGAAAACAGTCTGTTCCCATTTATCACCAGGCAGAGTTGTATTACTATTGCCAGTGGGTCTACAGGGAATAAGACAAACATGGCAGCATTGTGGTAAAGGTCTGTGGCGGTGGATTATCTGTCAGGTGCAGGACTGGAACAGGGCGTAATCCCAACCCAGTTACATGTACATTGTTTCTTTACTTGCATGATTCGTACATAGATCATACAAGGAATGCATCAGCAAACGCAGCGTGGGATGTTCAACTTTTTCCATACTGCACACTTTTATTATCTGTACATAGAGAACGACATATCAAAGTATACATAAAACAATTGCAGCCCTTTTTACCTCAAAGGAAATGATGCTGTCCTTAGGACATTTATAGAAGTATGACTAAGCACTGTGGTCTATTTAAGCTCAAGCAGTGACCACACTCGACTGCAGAGGAGTCCCCTTACCATGAGCCACACGACTACTTTTCATTTGAATTTTCCTCATGAACGCCCGAGTTCTTTGGGCTAGTAAATTAGAGGCTTTTATGCAGGGATAATTTTGGGATACATAAAGTAGGAAAGTTGCCACAGAAAACAAACACAAAGTGAGCTATGCTAGTAAAGAGCACAGTGCCAGTCCAATAGAATCTCTCTGTATATTTGCACTGGGCACAATTGAAGGTCCTGACACAGGGATATTACGCATGTTAACCAGCTTTTTAGAGTAAGTCTGAAATTCCGAAACTGTCATATGGTACAGGCAAATATTCGCTGTTGATTGACTCTGCTCATCAAAACAGTAGAACTGCTTGCTTGATTAGATGATCAATTCTTTAGCTCTTTGTTTTCACAGCCTGTTAAAAATGTGTTTTGGGTAATTTCTCCTGGGCTTCCCTTGACAAAACTGGATGGAAACTGTCGTGAGTTTAAGTAGAGATCTGTCTCATAGGACACCATCTTCGTAAGGAATTTCCTGCTGCGTATTCAACACCATCAGGAGTGCGTGCAGATGTTGTGCATGTACGCTATGCTCACATTTGTGTTGGTCCAAATATCTTTGAAACGCCGTGCAGCAGATGCGCATCAAGAAAATTGGACGTCCAGAATGCAGATGCACATGGCAACCTTTTCGGAAGTCACATCATTTGAGAGAGATCAACTAACCAGTCTGAAATGTTTTGGTACATAATGCTCACTACACACTGCTTAATTAAAACGCCAAGTGCTTCAGAAATATTGTACATGCATGAGAAGGTCACTGACCTCACCATGGCTGACAAAAACAGAAAACAATCATTTCTGTCAGCTTCTCTATAATTCTGCCCCAAAGTCCAAACCACACAAATCTTTTGTTTTATACAAACTCAAGAAAACCTGCTGTAAATATTTATTTGTCACCATTGCATAATTACATGATTTTTATGTAAATCTTTTAAAACTGCATCCCTCTTTCACGGAGGGTAGGTTTCCAAAAGTTGAAGTCCGAAGACGTCGGGAACGTTTTCAGATATGAACTTGATTTGCATGCAAGTATGTTACTGTGGTGTAGTATTCTGTAGTAATCGCCCATGTACATAAAAATTGATGAAAATAAAAGGTTTTCAGATCTGACAGTGTGGGTCTATTTGTCTTTCACTTTGATGTTGAGGCGGCTCTGACTTGGTTCATTCGGTGCGTGAAAATATCTCTGATTACCCTTTTCTTGATAGACTAAGTGCCATAAAAATAAGACGGAAAATAAGGCTTCAAATTTCAATTTTATAACAAAGTTTAAAAGATCTGAGCAAAAAAGACTCCAAAAACATGCCCAATTATATCATTCCTGTACAAACCTATGTTGCTTAATTAAAAACAAACTATTATAATTTGAGGTGATAAACTCGTCCATTATATATAGACACAAAGATCTACTTCTTTCAGCCTCAAAGTAAGGCTCCATCGGCAGTCTTTACAATGGAATAATAAAAAAGCAAAACGGGCACAAGGGTCATTCAAAATATCTAAAGATTTCATCTTGGAGAACTTTCTACTAAAGAGGGGGCTTGCGGTAACACCGTGTGGATCTCTTTTGGAAGAGGCATGGTTCTGATAAGAACCGTAGAGTGTGTACTCGGGAACTTTCTAGTCGAGCAAAATCTGAATAAATTCAGTGCAAGTGCTCCACTAGCTGAGCGTGCAGAAACGGTAGAGAACCTTTGAACAAGTTCAGACTCCTGGGAGTGAACCATGTCCTTTGCGGCCGGAATCGACACGTGTCCATAATCATATTTGAGGTATGGTGGACACAATAGGAGGGCGCTATTCAGTGCGGGTGAAGTCTTCGGTGTTTCCTCCAAACTACCCCCTTCAAACAGCACCCTCTACGGTGCCTGCCACGCTTCCAAAGGCTAATGGGAGGTGGCTCCAGCCATTAGCTTGCTTTGGTGCCTGTGTTACTTCCGGCGGCGGCTGGTAATATTCGACCGGACCGGTGACTGTTCCCAGCCACCCCCCTGCCTACCGCGCATTGGCATTTTCCTGGTTCATGTGCCTCTCTTGATCCCGCCGCGCCTGGATCTGTCGGTAGCGGGGCTCGTTGATGCAGCTGTGGGCTGATAACGTCTTGGGGTGCTGCTCACCGAAAACCTGAGGCAGAACAGACACGGTATCAGTCCCTCACCAATACAAATCTTGATCAAATGATATACACGTATGATTCAGTCTGTTCACTTCCCAGCTACAATGCTGCCCTGATAGATACCCCGATATCTTTCTCGGCCATGGCAAAGACTTTAACCAGGACACTTTTTCTATCCGAGCGAACATTTTCTCTTCAATTTAAGTCGATAAGAAACAAATGGGGGAAAAAGGGCCAGATTTCCCCCCAAAATAGAAAACCAACTTTGATAAATGGAGAGGGGTACGTCCTTCCCCCTCTAAATCAGCTACAGGAACAGGGCAACTGTGGTGTGCAACAGACCTCTCTTATGATGACGCCACACTTTGTTTACTGTGTGCTTTCTCATGGTGCTCAGTGGACTGTGAACCCACATTGGTTTCACAGAATGGTGCATGTGTAAAAATGCCAAGTCATCAATACAGACGCCAATTCAACACTCGTCAAGTCATACAGGGCACGAGTAAAGCATTTGCTCACCTCTCTGGAGATTTCGTGCCACTGCACGAAGTAGTCGTAGGCCATCTGGAAGTCGCTCCTGTCCTCGTAGTAGATGCCGGTGTTGCTCATGATTCGGGTCATGAGCTTGCAGTTCTCGCCGTAGGCTTGCTGGCATTGCTCTCGGGCCAACTCGTACCACTGTTAATGAGATGGAGAAATTAGATTTCAAGAACCATCATTCTCGTGCATTTGTGATGGAAGAGTTCAGTAATGAGACTGCGCAAGCTTCAAAGCGAGACTTGTCACAGGTCTTTTGAGACGCTGGTCCTATAAGCTGACTGGCACGTTCTGTACACGTTCGAGCTGGCATGTCGTGCGTCACTTACCTCTAGTTGCTCTGGTTCACCGCGAGGGAAGACGATGGCCTTGGTCATGCTGGCTTCAGCCTCTTTACCTAGATCACCAATCTACGAATGAAGAAGGTACCAATTAAGTGATATTGCATAGGTGTTCTGTCAAGGAAACTGTGGTGTGCTCTATGGACAACCAAGCATGGGGCATGAATTGCTGAATTGTGACTTCAGAAGATGCATCAGATCAGACCGATGTGTTTGTTGGTCATCTGCAGAGAAATCAACATGCTTCCAGTGAGGAGGCAAATGTGGAGAGATTCAAGGCTGGACTTTCTGCTTCGAATCGAGCGTGGAGATGTCTTAACCTCTTGACCACTGAGCTTGCTTGTGTTTACTGACTAGCAGTGGTGTTGCGATCAGTAACTGTTGGCACTAGGATACTGTTTCAGCAGGGGGGAAGGGGGTTGGAGGTTACCTCCTTGAAGAGTCGAATGGCCTCGTCGACCTGCACGACCGACTCATCCTGGGCTTCCTCCGCGGACAGCGAGGAGTCTCCCCCGCACTCGGACCAGTTGTTCAGATTGAAAGACAGGCGCATCACCGAGTCTGCCATCTTGTACTGCAACAAGAGATGCCCAGTCAGGGTGTTATTACAGGTGCATTTCAAGTTGCCAAGGGAACGTGTTAGAAATTTCAGATTTCTCTGCTTTGCACATTAAAACTTTATTTGGGTCGAATTGGTACGTTGCCGTGGTGAGTTACTATCTTGCCGCAGCTAGTTATTCTCTCCGTACAGCCAATAATTATGTTGTCATCAGAGTTATAACTTAGAATCAGAATCTAGAGCCGATGATTTCCTCACTGACGATCCGCCTCGAGCAGAAACACCCCCTCACAGGTTGAAAAGAGCCAGTTTGGTCGAGAGTGTTCATTTTGTTGGTAGCGATGCGACCGTAACGTGTGCATTTCCTAGTTGTTTGCGAAACCAGCGAAGTTCAGTTCCAACCAAGGAAGCCTCTGTTGCCAAGAAAAGTGCGCCCTCTCTTGGTCCAGCTTGAAGCTCACAGCAACGTTCTATTGTGCTACGGTCAGATAGTAACTTGCAGCAGTGAGATGGAGAATAGAAAATCGGTGTTCTGGTTGCAGTTCTTCTTGTATCCCAGGGATCTTTGCAGGCATGAAATGAAAATCGCCCGCTTACCTTGTGCCTCTCTCCCTCCAAGGTTTCCCTGATCTTGATGGATCGCCGGTTGAAGTCAATGGCTGGCCTCAGTTCCTTGAGCTGCTCCCTCGTGATGAAATCGTGGAGCTTGCACAGCTGACAGAAGAACCAAAAAAATTGTGCAATTTGCAGACTTAACTGAAAATTGTTCTGGTTTCTCAATTTGTCCTGGAATTTTTGGTACACAAGGGTTTACCAAGACTATGGGAACACTTGTATAATTGATCAGAGAATGCATAACAGACAACGGTTACTGACTTCACACAATTTTAAGAATTTGAAAGAAACGTTTTAAATTACTAACGTAACTGTTTTAACCAGGTTTAGCACCATACCCTACTTTAGATTTTACAAGGCAATAGTTAAGAATGTGTTGTAATAAG